TGTGCTGTCACACAACACAATACCACAAATGGCTCATGTTTTCAAGGAGCGTGCAATTGGCATGCTGACTGCAGGAATGTCCACCAGAGCTGTTGCCAGAGAATTTAATGATAATTTCTCTACCATAATCCGCCTCCAACGTCATTTTAGAGAATTTAGCAGTACATCCAACCGGCCTCACAACCGCAGACCACGTTTAACCACGCCAGCCCAGGACCTCCACATCTGGCTTCTTCACCTGTATCATCTGAGACCAGCCACCCGGACAGCTGATGAAACTGAGGAGTATTTCTGTCTGTAATAAAGCCCTTTTGTGGGGAAAAACTCATTCTTTGGCTGGACCAGCTCCCCAGTGGGTGGGCCTGGCTCCCATGTGGGTGGGCCTATGCCCTCCCAGGCCCACCCATGGGTGCGCCCCTGCTCAGTCATGTGAAACCCATAGATTAGGGCCTAATTTATTTATTTTAATTGACTGATTTCTTTATATGAACTGTAACTCAGTAAAATCATTGAAATTGTTGCATATTGCTTTATATTTTTTATCAGTATATAATACATTGATGCCTTTGATTGACACACCTGGCAGTGGGAGATTTCCTTCCCAGGAAATGGGAAATGGAATAAACAAGGTAGCGGTAATGTGTCGATTGGAGCACGTGTGTCAGAAGCTTTCTCAGAATTACATCATCTGCCTTTGATTGGCAGAAAATTGGTTACATGGAATTCAGTTAAATAGCCTACTAATGCAATGATCAAAGAGAGAGCCTACTGCAATAAATAGTCTACAATTAACGGAATCTCTTTATTATAGGCTATAGAATAATTTGAGAATGAAAATGTAACCACACTCTTGGTGCATTCTAGGTGCTTCCTGATCTCTAGCTGGGAAACTTCAAAGGTAAAGTCATTCCCCTCACTGTGTGTGTTTGGCGTAGGCATGTGTGTAGCAGGGGGTGTCCCTTTATGGGGGTGTCCCTTACACACACACACGCTGTTCAGTTCTCCAGCTCTTTCCACAGATCAGCTAAAGCACAGGTTTGAGGGTGTCTTCATGTAATGTGTGTGTTATTTTTATCTTAAGGAATGTCCCTGTCAGCATATTTTGCTTCTAAATAATCCGTTTGATGATCGATATTATATAATTCATTACACAAGCCAATATCAATTGACTGACTCCTACACTGTGCATGGTTTGGTTTGGGCACCATTTAATAATCAGGCTTGGGCCTAATTCTCTCAGAGTGAGTTTAGTCCTATGTAGTCCTTCTATATATCACCTCATGGCCCATCAGATCTCCCCAGTGTGAGAAAACATGCCCTGGGCACATCTGTCCTAGGTAGAGAACCTTAAGCTTCCTTTTAAAGACTGAATTTGATTAGAACATTTACTGTTTCTTGCTTTTGGGCCAAGGTGTTGGCCTGTTTTAGAAACATTGGTTTTCCGGTTTTTCTTTCAGTTCAAATTAAGAAAAGCCTGTTTGTGAGAGCTTGTTTGTTTGGAGATCCTTGGGGAGTTGGTTGTTGTTGTTGAGCAGAAAACTCTTTATTTAGGACTGGAGTACCTGTGGTCTTTGTGATTGGAGGACAGGGCCTATGTGATTTTTCTCAGTTGGTAAGTGCATGGCGCTAGCAACTCTAGGGTTGTGGCCATGGGTTAGATTCCCGCAGGGATCATGTACACATACTTTGGATAAAAGTGTCTTCTAAATGTCATTTTATATAGTTTATATCCTCACATCCTGTCCATCCATGACACAGCTGCATCCATCCTAGAGGGGAGACCACACCGGTCACGCCTCACCCTGTTACCATGGTGACCAGACCTTTGACCTAGGGCATTTTCAGCAGGACGCAACATTTTGGAACGTTCAGATAGAAATAGCCTATGTAGAACAAACATGCATCTGCGACATGTAGAATAAGGAATCACATCAGCTCTACTCATGGCATTTCTATCTGCAACATTCGAGAACGTTTGGCAACTGAACGTGGCCCCGCAGTTAAAGCATCTAGGTTCACGGCCTTGTGCTGTGTGATAGGCTAGCTCAGCAGTGTAACCTGGTCAATCTAGCTGCTACCGCCTCACTGTGTGTTATGTTGGTATGGAAGAATATGTTGTTTCAGCAGGCTAATGCAATGATAAGTAGTAGAGATCAACCTAGATCCTACTCTGCTTATATCTTGACCTTCTCAGACTGTCCTTGATCTTGAACAACAAACACCCACTTGATCCCAGTCATAGGCCAGCCATGATCTATCACTCTCAACTTGATATAACCATTAGTAAAATGGTTACTTTAACAGGGAAAAGGTTATTCTACATTATAAACTGGGTGGTTTGAGCCCTGAATGCTAATTGGCTGAAAGCTGTGGTATATCAGACCGTATACCACAGGTATGACTGTTTTAATTACTTTGGTAACCAGTTTATAATAGCAATAAGGCACCTCGGGAGTTTGTGGTATATGGCCAATGTACCACAGCTGTATCAAGGCACTCCGCGTTGGCCATTTACCACACCTCCTTGTGCCTTATTGCGTAATTAAACAGTAGGATTATGTAAACTTTTTAGTGTGTTACTATACAATAGAGATTTTAAGACATCTGTGGAAGAAAACAATACCCATTTTTAAAGTAATTGTAATATTGTTAGTTGTAAATTAACTTTGAATCAGACGTGACTTACATGGTATAGTATTTATGAACGGATCATGTCAACAACACACACTACGACTCCTAAAATAGAAAACTGAAATTGTTGTGAAAGTCAAACTTTCTTATCCCCATTTTCAATTGTTATATGGAAAGTAGTACCGACTTCTGGTATCACTCACAAGACAACAGGGTTCTACCTCAAGTTATGTAATTGAAGGTGCAGCTGCCAAAACACTGTCAATGTGTGTTGGATTTGATAACTGCATGTTAGTGTGTTTTCATTATTTAACAGCTTTTCAACAAAATATGTCATTTCATTTGCAGCTGAATGTGCTCGGTTAGATATATTGTTATCTGCATTTTCTTATTTTCTATATTTCGTCATGACATGAAAGTGTAACTCTATTAAACGTTTCTCTGGTTTTTCAGATAGGGCTACATTCAGATGTATATGAAAGAGCGGGAAAGGTGTGTGTGCGTGTGTGCGTGCGTGTGTCCGTGAGAAGAAGAGCTAGAGAGAGGGCAAATCTCAAACTGAGAATGCCAAAATGAGCTGTGTGGTTAGCAACTAGTTTTCATTCAGTGCTGTTGACTGCAGCTGTTTAAGTTGTACGGACTATAACATATTTGTGTACAAACACACATACACACACGACATTCAGTTGTACAACTGACTAGGTATCACCCTTTCCCTATTGCCTCAGAACTTTCATCTTTTCTCATTGAAAGCCAGCCTGAAAACCACGTCCTGATCTCTGTCCACTTTCTGTCTGTGACAGCATGTCAGTTAGTTGTTGTGTGTACAGTAGTGTGTTTTCACTACTATTACGTTGAAGAGAGAACAGCAACTTCTAATACAGTATCACAACCCAGTCTGGTCAGCCAACAACTTATGTTGAATGCACATGTTAAACACAAAGACTCAAAACAATGCTGCTATCGCCTTTCAATAACCCGTCATCATCCATAGTTGATGGGCTATGAATGGCTCATGACATGGTTATAACAGAACTATGAATGGTTTATGACATGGTTATAACAGAACTATGAATGGTTTATGACATGGTTATAACAGAACTATGAATGGTTTATGACATGGTTATAACAGAACTATGAATGGCTCATGACATGGTTATAACAGAACTATAACACAGCTAACATCCCAGTCCCACTTGGGCCAATAAATATAACGATATAATGATAATTACAACCATCAACTATAAATAGTTGGCAAGTCGTCACACTATTATAAAATACTTTATCATTGTACCTATCAATCAACTGATTGAGAAGCAATAGCATACTGACTCAGATGTCTGTTCGACGTCCTGCAGGCTAATAGCCAGTCAGCTGGAGGGTTTATTTGCATACTCAACAGTCAACGGGTAGACTGACTGATTGATTTCTGGGAAGATGGCTCTGTGGTTTTGGGTAGGGGAGGGGTTAGTTAGCAACCTGGTCAAGTTTACATCAGCAATTTTAGAAGAAATGGATTACGCTTATCATTATAAATATGAACCTGATCTATGTTAATTGCAGTGTTTTTTTCTCCACCCTTTAATTAACTGCACATAGTTTTGGTTAGGATTGTGTGGTAACTTGTGATTAGGACCAGGATGTCAGCAGTTGCTATGATGATGATTGTTGTTAACTGTGTTGTATTGTCGGTAACTATGCTGATTATGATGACTCATTATTTTGATGACCAGTTGAGAAGGTTAATTAGAAAATGTCAAGTCAACAGGATATTTCTGAATTAATGTTAGCAGAAAGCAGTCCCATCAGTCATCAGTTGTATGCATATACAGTATAGATGGTAGGAGGACTTCTTCTATAACATAATACAGTTCCCAGTTCCATAGATACAATAGTTAAATGCATGCGTCCTTCTGTCTGTCGGTGGTGTGTGTGTGTATATGCGTGTGTATGTGTGAGTGTGTGCACATGCGACTGACTGAACTGTCCCATTGGAGGACTCCTGCAGCTCAGTCTGTCCCAGAGGGCCGAGGGGTTTTTGCGGAGGTGCAGTCATATCGGGACAGAGTAGTTTCTGCCCGCTGGGGCCATGGGCTCACCATCAGCTGTCAGGTGCACATTCACCACACACACACACACACACACACACACACACACACACACACACACACACACACACACGCACACGCATACGCACACGCACACGCACACACACACACAGAGTTCAAACTATGATAAAGAACCTTATCACTAGGTATGTTGGCTAATATTCTGACACATTGTTTATAGCAACATGTGAAATGTATAATTGGTCAATGTTTTCTATTGTTGACTTGTGTTGTTCGGCTCGTCATTCTCCTCAACAGAAGATGACCTACCTCTGTCTTCCTGCTGCTGATGCCTCCAAACAAAGCCTGTAAGTGTGTGTTCTGTGTGTGTGTGCTCACGCTCATGTGTGCATAATGTGCGTGGGTTACATATACATTATGTTTATTACTGTATACTGTAACCTCTAAACGGTTTGCATTATCCCAAACTCCAGTCTAAGTTTGTGTTTTCTATCTCCTTTCTGTCCTCAGGACCCAGTTCTTTAAGGACAGCATCATATTCATCCACGAGTCCAGACTCAAAGGGAAGGGATGCCTGGTTCACTGGTGAGAACTTGTTTAAATGTATTTATCATTGTTTTAATATATGAATGATGATTGATGTACTGTATTGATGACTTGATCAATCATTGATGGACTGATGTGTTCCCAGTGTGGCAGGTGTTTCCTGTAGTGTTGGGTTGGTGGTGGCGTACATGACTGTTACTGGGCGGGGCTGGGTGGCATCGTTAGCTGCAGTGAGGGTGGTGCAGCCGTGTGCTGGACCTCAGATGGTGTTCCTACACCAGCTAGAGGACTTTGATAACCTAGAGGTCACAGGTCAGAGTCAACAGGTCTATTCTCACTTTCTTTCCCTCACCTATTGAGCATTCTCGCTCCTCCTCCTCTTATCTTTATCTCTCTCTCACCTTCACGAGTGTTAACTGTCCTCCACTCTCCCTGGTTCTTCTCTCGATCACTCTCTACCTCATGGTCTCTTTCTGCTTCCTCTCAACTATCCATTTCTTGCGACTCGCCCTCTCTTGTGACACTCTTTCTTTCTGTCTCTCTCTCGCTCTGTTCTCAGTATACAGTGCATTCGGAAAGTATTCAGACCCTTTGACTTTTTCCACATTTTGTTACGTTACAGCCTTATTTTAAAATTGATTTAAAAAATGTTTTTACCTCATCAATCTACACACACAATACCCCATAATGACAAAGCAAAAACAGGTTTGTAGAAATTTTTTCTAATGTATTTATATATTCTAACTGAAATATCACATTTACATAAGTATTCAGACCCTTTACTCAGTACTTTGTTGAAGCACCTTTGGCAGCGATTACAGCCTTGAGCCTTCTTGGGTATGACACTACAAGCTTGGCACACCTGTATTTGGGGAGTTTCTCCCATTCTTCTCTGCAGATCCTCTCAAGCTCTGTCAGGTTGGATGGGGAGCGTCGCTGCACAGCTATTTTCAGGTCTCTCCAGAGATGTTCGATCGGGTTCAAGTCCGGGCTCTGGCTGGGCCACTCTAGGACATTTAGAGACTTGTCCCGAAGCCACTTCTGCGTTGTCTTGGCTGTGTGCTTAGGGTCGTTGTCCTGTTGGAAGGTGAACATTCACCCCAGTCTGAGGTCCTGAGCACTCTGGAGCAGGTTTTCATCAAGGATCTCTCTGTACTTTGCTCCGTTCATCTTTCCCTCCATCCTGACTAGTCTCCCAGTCCCTGCCACTGAAAAACATCCCCACAGCATGATGCTGCCACCACCATGCTTCACCGTAGGGATGGTGCCAGGTTTCCTCCAGACGTGACGCTTGGCATTCAGGCCAAAGAGTTCAATCTTGATTTCATCAGACCAGAGAATCTTGTTTCTCATGGTCTGAGAGTCTTTAGGTGCCTTTTGGAAAACTCCAAGCAGGCTGTCGTGTGCCTTTTACTGAGGAGTGGCTTCTGTCTGGCCACTCTACCATAAAGGCCTGATTGGTGGAGTGCTGCAGAGATGGTTGTCCTTCTGGAAAGTTCTCCCATCTCCACAGAGGAACTCTGGAGCTCTGTCAGAGTGACCATCGTGTTCTTGGTCACCTCCCTGACCAAGGCCTTTCTCCCACGATTGCTCAGTTTGGCCGGGCGGCCAGCTCTAGGAAGAGTCTTGGTGGTTCCAAACTTCTTCCATTTAAGGATGATGGAGGCTACTGTGTTCTTGGGGACCTTCAATGCTTCAGAAATGTTATGGTACCCTTCCCCAGATCTGTGCCTCGAAACAATCCTGTCTCGGAGCTTTACGGACAATTCCTTTCGACCTCATGCCTTGGTTTTTGCTCTGACATGCATTGTCAACTGTGGGACCTTATATAGACAGGTGTGTGCCTTTCTAAATCATGTCTAATCAATTGAATTTCCACAGGTGGACTCCAATCATGTTGTAGAAACATCTCAAGGATGATCAATGGAAACAGGATGCACCTGAGCTCAATTTCGAGTCTCATAGCAAAGGGTCTGAATACTTATGTTAATACATTTGCAAACATTTCTAAAAACCTATTTTCGCTTTGTCATTATTGTGTTTGTAGATAGATTTTTATAGATTTTGTTTTTATTTCACCTTTATTTAACCAGGTAAGCCAGTTGAGAACAAGTTCTCATTTACAACTGCGACCTGGCCAAGATAAAGCAAAGCAGTGCAATAAAAACAACAACAACACAGAGTTACATATGGGGTAAACAAAACATAAAGTCAAAAATACAACAGAAAATATATATACAGTGTGTGCAAATGTAGTAAGTTATGGAGGTAAGGCAATAAATAGGCCATAGTGCAAAATACGGAAAAAATTTAATTTAATCAATTTTAGAATCATGCAGTAACGTAACAAAATGTGGAAAAAGTCAAGGGGTCTGATGAAGAGGAGATCGGAGCCCTTCTGTTGCCAAAGTCTCAGACCATCAGTGACTCCATAGCAATGGCCATGGCAACAGCAGCTCCACTGAGCACCAGCAACACATGACCCCATGTCTCCAGCAAGACACCGGTCACTCACGCAACACCCAGCCAATCCCTGCGTCTCACTGCATACAATAGATATGGGCTGGACTTGAGTTCCCTATTCACAGCAACCATCTGTAGGTTAGACCAACTGAAAATCGACCAACTTTGCTTCTGGAGGCATAATGTGCAAAATTCCAAAATGTCATATGTCCCTGTGTGTGACTGGGGTCTTCTTTGATATGGGCACCTTTCCCCCTAACTGTCACAGCAACATGGAAGAGCAATCAAGCTGACAGCACATGAAACATACTTTACTATAGGCTAAACGCAATCCACACAAAGACACAGTTACCCCTCTCATTTGATCATCTCCTTCACCGCTCTCTATACACATGCTCCTCTTTCTGTGAGTGTTGTGTGGGTTTGTGTGTAATAATTACATTAAACTTTATAGACCAACAGAGATTTTGATTGTATGTATATTCAAGATTGTTTTCTCTTGACCATTCTGACATATTATTAAAAAAGAAACAAAACCTGTCTACTGTTTTCAAGTGGTTGAAGTATATGACTTTGCAAGCTCAGCTGCATTTAAATTTGTTCTCCACAGGAAGGCAATCTTCTTTATCACAATGATAATTAGCCTATGACTTTATTAATTATAATGATTATACCTAGGCTACTTACTTTGAGTCTCACAATATGCCTTAGTTGACCAATTAAGCACCCAGTATGTTTCTTACATCTTCAGGCTTATTTGAGAGCAGGTTTTCCCAATCATTGAGGCTAGGCTATATCAATTGCACTTCTTGGACATAGAATTAGGCCAACCGATTTTTATCATGAAAATAAAATATCCCTGACAGGATGTAGGCTTATATTTAGCCCATTACATGGTTTATATAACTTCAAAGAATTGTTTTGCGCTCTACTAGGGTGAATAGATTGTACCACTTTCCAGGATTGCGGGTGTCCCGTGAGGGTTTCCCCCTGCTGTTTACTGGAGGCTTGCGCAGATAAAGTTCACAGAACGCAGCAGGTGCACGTCTCTCTACTCGCCCCGCCCACTCTACAACTATGATTTAAGTTAAGTTGTCACGATGCATTATGATCTTTCGAGACTGATTGATTTCAAAACTCAAAAGGGTTTCGAGTTTCAGAGGTAAGTCATGGGCACTTGCTCTGCTCGCGCTAAAACATATAGGCTACCTGCAGCAAAAAATAAGTTCACATCCAATTAAAAGTGTTCAAAAGTGAATGTAGCCTATTCGTTCATTTTAATACAATTTACATAATTGGTCTGCAAGTTTACGCAAGCAATTTGACCAAAAAAAACGATAGTCATAATATTTTTGCAGATAATTTTAGGAAAATGTATATGTGCTAGATCATTTGTAGACTAAATATCTGAGTGCTTATAATATTTACCATTATAGTATACTGTCCTGACCTTGCACGTCTCTTGGCTAGAGATGAATCCGGAGTCGGACTACAGCATGTCTACAGTGAGCTGTGGAAACGGGAAGCTCCGCTCGTGGCTGATCGAGCAGGTTGACACCGGGAAGTATGCGGGCCTCGTGTGGGAGAACGACGACAAGAGCATCTTCAGGATACCGTGGAAGCATGCGGGCAAGCAGGACTACAACCGGGACGAGGATGCCGCTCTCTTCAAGGTACTGTATGATACCGGGCCTCAACGGAATGTCTCCCAGATGTTGCATTTACGCACTGCATTTGTGAGAGATGTGTATTATACACTTGACCAACATGTTGGACATTTAGTTGTGTTGGTTGCAAACACAGAACTATTAGACTAATGATGAGTTCAGTTCGTGCGCATTGGGTAGGTTGAAGTGCCAAATCCATGACGCATAGGACTTGTCTTCAACTCATGCACAACTGCGCCGGTGATTCGTTACCCATGTCTCACCGCTCAGTTTTGTGTGACCTTCCTGCAGGCTTGGGCGCTGTTTAAAGGCAAGTTTCGCGAGGGCATCGACAAACCGGACCCGCCAACGTGGAAGACGCGACTGCGGTGCGCGCTCAACAAAAGTAACGACTTCGAAGAGCTCGTGGAGAAGAGTCAGCTGGACATCTCAGACCCCTACAAAGTCTACCGGATCATACCGGAGGGCGCCAAGAGACGTCAGTAGAATTATATTCTATCAATTCTACCCATTATTCTACGCAATTTAAGTGGCCTTCTAATTCATGCAATATGAAAATAGTGGTTAGAAAATAGGTTATCGAAAGTTATAAAATCAACTTCTTGTTTTTATCATATACACCACTATCAGTAGGAAACAGAGATGCCACCCACTCACTCAATGCCCCAATGAGTTTTGATAGGGGGGTAGGGTTTTGATAGAGGGTAGGGTTTTAATAGGGTTTTGATAGGGGGGTAGGGTTTGATAGGGTTTTGATAGGGGCCAGTGAGTTCTGTACAAATACACATCAGTATGCTGGATAATCAGGCTGCAAAACCACAAGACACTTTGAATTAGTTACAGCCAACTGTAGGATAAAGTCCTGATTATGCTTATGCATGTGTAATAATTAATGTATGATTCTCTTATGAACTTTGAGAGTGCATTGAATGTGTGTCTGTCTGTGTTTTGTTTAAATTATTACTCCTGTGTAACAGATTTCTTGCTATCAGGATCCAAACAGGAGGATGGTGGCAGCCCGCTGAGTCCCCCGAGCTATCCCATGCACCCCTCTTACCCCACCCTACAGACTCAGGTAACTATTACAAGGAAGGCTGTGTGTGCGTGCATGTGTGCAGTGTTGGGGAAGATACTCTGAAAATATAGTTTACCAATTACTTCACACTGGAAGAAGTTAAGCTACCCTTAAGAAAAATATAGTTTACTTAACTAAAGTTACTGTGAAAAAAGTAGTTCACTACATCAAAACTACTTTAAAATGTGAAATGGCATAGAATACAGATTGCAAGAACAGATCACTCTGGAGACAGATGTTAACAGAATGTGTAATTTAGCCTATTAAACACAAACTATGTTTCAAGTGAGAATTAGTCAGGTCTGATGCCAAAAAAGAAAGTAGTGCATAGTTCCAGTAGTTAGCTACACCACTACATCGCAAGAAAGTAATTAACTACTGAAAACACTACCAAGATTTGAATTTAGTTCAACTTCCACCAAGTTACTGCAACATGTAGTTAAATGACTAGTTGAATTACATGTAGTTCACTACTCCCCAACACTGCGTGCATGTGTGTGTGTGAGCCAGAGAGAGAGAGACAGCTGCACGAATCTCTGTCTCTATGTGTGTAGATGCGATGGTTTGACTGACAGGTATCTCCCTCTGTCTCTATGTGTGTAGATGTCGGGGTACATGCCCAGTGCAGAGCGAGGCTGGATGAGGGACTATCTTCCAGAGCAGGCCTCTCTCCCTGAGCTGCCCTATGCCCAGTGCTCCTACCCCTCACGCAGCCTACCCTGGGCCCAGGGCCCCAGCATGGACAACGGTAGGCCTAATACCACAGCATCCATGTTTGTTTGAGTGAGAGAATGTAATTTCGGGTGTGTAGATGTGTAGTCAGAATCAGAATCACCTTTATTCACCCAATACATTTGCATGTACAGGAATTTGACTTGGTGAAATGGTGCTGCCACAATACACAGAGTAAACAGACAGATGATAAACAGGATATACAGACAACATACTGTATGTAGAAGCCGACATTACACACATCCACAAGCTGTATGTACACTGTAAGCTAAGAACTACAAGCTACACTATAAACACTAAGTTACATTATAAATTATGTATGTAGAGATGTATAAATGAATAAACTATTTTACAGGATGATGTGCGGTGGGGGAAATATGTAAATGAAAAAGAGTCGGGTGCATATGAGGATGTGCAGAGAGTGTAAAGAGCAATTTGCCGTTCTAGGATGATAGTGCAGGGTGCATAGTCTATGAATTAGAAGATTTATCATGGCCCAGTTGGTGAGGGTCAAGAAGCTGTTCAGGTGGCGGGAGTTATGTTCAGATGGGCCTTTATCCTAACTTGACATCTGCTCAAATAACTCGCTTTTCGCGTAAGTCTTCCATTGACATCAATGCGTGATTGAGGTCCTGTCTCTCTGTTTGCAGGCTACCAGATCACAGGGTCCTTCTACACCTACCCTACTGATGGCCAGCCCTCCCCCTTCACACTGGACACCAGCATGAGATCAGCTGAGGCACTCTCTGGTACAATACACACACACACACACACACACACACACACACACACACACACACACACACACACACACACACACACACACACACACACACACACACACACACACACACACACACACACACACACACACACTTCATGTATGACCCACGTAATTGGTATTATATTGTGTTAGCTAAACACCTTGATTTGATGCTGTTTCTCTGACCCTTACTCCCTCCTCCACCCCAGATATGCGGTTACATGTGTCAGTGTTCTACCGGGACTCCTTGTGGAGGGAGGTGACCACCTCCAGTCCTGAAGGCTGTCGCATCACTCCCTGCTCCCCAGACGACAAGCTCTATTCCCCCACTGGAGGTCCAGACCTGGTGCCCCTACCCCTGGACAGCCTCCCAGCCCTGGGGAAGGGGGAGGAGTGCCCCCCCAGCCCCCCTGGTGGTACCCTGGAGAGGGGCGTGTTGCTGTGGATGGCCCCAGATGGCCTCTACGCTCGGCGGCTGTGCCAGGAGAGAGTGTTCTGGGAAGGAGGGTTATCACCCTACGGAGACAAACCTAACAAGCTGGAGAGGGAACACACCTGTAAACTACTGCACACACAGGACTACCTCGCAGGTGAGTTAACGTACACTGCAGGCATGCAGGCAGGCGGACACGCACCCACACACGTGTGTCTCATTCACTGGCAAACCAAACCACTCTGTTGTCATGCTGTTTCCTGGTCATGGACAGGAAGCAGATATGTCCTCATTTCCTATACATATGTTGAGATTGCCTCCATACTCCCTACAACACACTTTTAAGAATGACACATAGTAGTGACCTCATCCCCGCCCACCTACCACAGATGTGTTCAGCCTGATTGGTCTAATTTGCATATAGAACCAGGAGTTTCCATCCAGTCACACATCCTCTAAAGTCACCACTACACCAGCTCATAAGAATTCACTTTGACCTAAATTAATTAACCCTTTCTCGATACAATGTACCCTCCCTGCAAACCTATCTACCAAACCCTACCCTCTAGATCGAATCCCCTTTCCCCTTCCTGTCTGGAAGACCTGCAATCTCTCCTCTCTACCTCACCTCTCCCTCCCTGTTTGTCTCAGAGCTGCAGGGCTATGCCCTCCACGGTCGGCCGCCTCCACGCCACTCCTCTGTACCTAAACTAACCATCTAGACCCTATTAACCACTTATTTCTCTCTGTCTACCAGAGTTGCAGGGCTATGCCCTCCACGGCCGGCCCCCTCCACGTCTCCAGGTGATGCTGAGCTTTGGAGACGAGTGTCTGGACCCGCAGAGACAGAGGAGGACCCTCACTGTACAGGTACAGTATATAACTTTCACCCAACATCAACATGACCTCTACTACCGGTCTTCAACCCCCCTCTCTACTTTACTCACACCCCATCACCTAATCCTGGCCCTCTCTACACCCCCTAACCTCCCTCCACTCTACTCATCTCAAATCAAATAGTATTTGTCACATGCTTCGTAAACAATAGATGGAGACCAATGGTGTAAAGTACTTAAGTAAAAATACTTTAAAGTAGTACTTAAGTAGTTATTTGGGGTATCTGTACTTTACTTTACTATTTATATTTTTGACAACTTTTACTTCACTACATTCCTAAAGAAAATGATGTACTTTTTACTCCATACATTGTCCCTGACACCCAAAAGTACTTGTTACATGATGAATGCTTAGCAGGACAGGAAAATGGTCCAATTGATGCACTTATCAAGAGAACACGTGGTCATCCCTACTGCCTCTGATTTGTCAGACTCACAAAATACAAATGCATCGTTTGTAAATTATGTCTGAGTGTTGGGGTGTACCCCTGGCTATTCGTAAATTTTTAAAACAAGAAAATGGTGCCGTCTGCTTTGCTTAATATAAGGAATTTGAAATGATTTATACTTTTACGTTTCAATACTTAAGTATATTTTAATGATTACATTTACTTTTGAGACTTAAGTATATTTAGAACCAAATACTTTTACTCAAGTAGTATTTTACTGGGTGATTTCACTTTTACTTGAGTAACTTTCTATTAAGATATCTATACTTTTACTCAAGTATGACAGTTCGATACATTTTCCACCACTGGTGTAGACTAACAGTGAAATGCTTACTTATGGGCCCTTCCCAACAATGCAGAGAGAAAAAAGGTGTGATTTTTCACCGCTCTGCTGACAAGTATTTGTCTCCCTTAATACAGGAGTAATTAAGGCCTGGTGCACAATTTTTGTTGTGTTAAATATATACAGTACCAGTCAAAAGTTTGGACACACCTACTCATTCAAGGGTTTTTCTTTATTTTTACTATTTTCTACATTGTAGAATAATAGTGAAGACATCAAAACTATGAAATAACACATATGGAATCATGTAGTAACCCAAAAAGTGTTAAACAAATCAAAATATATTTTATATTTGAGATTCTTCAAAGTAGCCACCCTTTGCCTTGATGACAGCTTTGCACACTCTTGGCATTCTCTCAACCAGCTTCATGAGGAATGCTTTTCCAACAGTCTTGAAGGAGTTCCCACATATGCTGAGAACTTGTTGGCTGCTTTTCCTTCACTATGAGGACCAACTCATCCCAAACCATCTCAATTGGGCTGAAGTCGAGTGATTGTGGAGGCCAGGTAAACTGATGCAGCACTCCATCACTATACTTCTTGGTCAAATAGCCCTTACACAGCCTGGAGGTGTGTTTTGGGTCATTGTCCTGTTGAAAAACAAATGATAGTCCCACTACGTGCAAACCAGATGGGATGGCGTATCGCTGCAGAATGCTGTGGTAGCCGTGCTGGTTAAGGGTACCTTGAATTCTAAATAAATCACTGACAGTGTCACCAGCAAAGCACTCCAACACCATCACACCTCCTCCTCCATGCTTCACGTTGGGAACCACACATGCAGAGATCATCCGTTCACCTACTCTGCGTCTCACAAAGACACGGCGGTTGGAACCAAAAATCTATTATTTGGACTCATCAGACCAAAGGACCGATTTCCACCAGTCTAATGTCCATTGCTCGTGTTTCTTGGCCCAAGCAAGCCTCTTCTTCTTATTGGTGTCCTTTAGTAGTGGTTTCTTTGCAGCAATTCGACCATGAAGGCCTGATTCACACAGTCTCCTCTGAACAGTTGATGTTGAGATGTGTCTGTTACTTCAACTCTGTGAAGCATTTATTTGGGCTGTAATTTCTGAGGCTGGTAACTCTAATGAACTTATCCTCTGCAGCAGAGGTAACTCTGGGTCTTCCTTTCCTGTGGCGGTCCTCATGAGACCCAGTTTCATCATAGTGCTTGATGGTTTTTGCGACTGCACTTGAAGAAACTTTCAAAGTTCTTGACATTTTCCGGATTGACTGACCTTCATGTCTTAACTTAATGATGGACTGTCGTTTCTCTTTGCTTATTTGAGCTGTTCTTGCCATAATATTACATTTACATTACATTTTAGTCATTTAGCAGACGCTCTTATCCAGAGCGACTTACAGTTAGTGAATACATATTTTTTTTTTTATACTGGCCCCCCGTGGGAATCGAACCCACAACCCTGGCGTTGCAAACGCCATGCTCTATCAACATCCCTGCCGGCCATTCCCTCCCCTACCCTGGACGACGCTGGGCCAATTGTGCGCCGCCCATGGACTTGGTCTTTTACCAAATAGGGCTATCTTCTGTATACCCCCCCCTACCTTGTCACAACACAACTGATTGGCTCAAACGCATTAAGAATAAAATAAATTCCACAAATTAACTTTTAACAAAGGCACACCTGTTAATTGAAATGCATTCCAGGTGACTACCTCATGAAGCTGGTTGAGAAAATACCAAGAGTGTGCAAAGCTGTCATCAAGGCAAAGGGTGGCTACTTTGAAGAATCGTAAATCTCAAATATATTTTGATTTGTTTAACACTTTATTGGTTACTACGATTCCATACGTGTTATTTCATATTTTTTAAAACATTTTAGTCATTTAGCAGACGCTCTTATCCAGAGCGAGTTACAGTTTTAGTGAGTGCATACATTTTTCATACTGGCCCCCCGTGGGAATCGAACCCACAACCCTGGCGTTGCAAGTGCCATGCTCTACCAACTGAGCTACAGGAGGCCAGTACAGTTTTGATGTTTTGATGTCTTCACTATTATTCTACAATGTAGAAAATAGTAAAAATTAAGAAAAACCCTTGAATGAGTAGGTGTGTCCAAACTTTTGACTGGTACTGTGTATATATATATAGTTTTGTACTTTTTTTTGTGGGGGGGTATTTATCAGGGGTTGCTGCAGCACCCTCAGCACCCCTACGTCCTGCGGCTATGCCCCGTTACCACCGCCACCACCTCCCAGTGACACCAGTACTGATCCCTGCTGTTCCCCTCCGCCCCTGCAGGTGGAGCCCATGTTCGCCAGGCAGCTCCTGTACTACACCCAGCACCAGCAGACCAGCGGACACTACTACCGCAGCTACGACCTCTCCCTCCCAGGGGTCACGGAACACAGCATGACACCTGCCTTAACCGAGGACTACCAGAGGGTCATCGCGCATCACCATAGCAACACCCTGCAGGACTGACAGATCTGAACATCTCTGATCACATTCAGACTGCGGTGCAGGACATGGGGAGAGGAGGAGACGGGAGAAAGCCTGGGGAGAGGAGGAGAGTCGTTTCACTGTACTCTGGATCCCAGATTTCACTCAAAGCCGAAGCAGAACTATGCCACTCCAATCCAAGACAAACTGAACCAAGCCAGGCCAGACTGAACTGAACCAAGCCAGGCTATGGAGGAACATACACCGGGACCATTGAAGAGACTGTAACAGATAGTTGTATACTGTAGATGTGTTTGTGTTTTGTAAGGACTCAAGGGAATCAATGCCCCAACATTTCTTTGGACCAAACTTTATTTCAACATCTCTCAGGGAGCCGTCCTTCGGCCTTAGAGACCCAAACTTGATTGACATTTTGTGTTTCAACGTCCACTTTCTGACAGCAACAGAACTGACAGCTGTAGTGATTGTATCGACATATGTGTTTTTGTATGTGCTTAATTGTGTTTGCTCAATTTCTTCTGTAAATATGTTTTACATTTTACCTGACTACTGTTGCTACTACTGTATGCAGATTTCCCAGCATCAATACTGAATAATAGGGAATAATGTAATAGAGATTACCAAAGACTGCCTCTGAGATTGGACAACACTGACTAGCATGCTGAATCTTCGATAAGATCAGTGAGATTGGACTACACTGAAACACTGACTAGCATGCTGAACCCTTCGATAAGCTCAGTCTGTCATACATACGGAATATGTTTTGTAATCGAAAAATAAAAAATTGTACCAAAGCAAAAGTGATGCATCTTTTGAGACATACATAGACATTCAATGAAATAGCTAGAGGGCTCATGTTAGACAAGGGATTTGTGGTGAAGTGACATCCTTCGGATGTGTGCAAGTGTTTACGTGTGTGTGTGCTTTTGTGCGTGTGTGTACAGGAAGCCTGGTTCAGATGCAGGATGATGCTGGTTAATCAAACACACTCACAGGAGAACGCTGTCATAAACAATGTGTGATGACATCACCAGGGGAAGAGGAAGAGGTTGGCCACTCTTTCCACCCTAACGGGGCACTAAGAGCCTCAGCGCTTAGAACTGATACAAGTGTTTCCTGGGGTGCCTCTACATGTGCTGACTACATTTCAATTTCCATGGAAGAATAGTGAAAACCCCTGAGAAGAATTCTCAATCACTGACTGATAAAGTAAACAAGACTGGGTAGTACTTTCAATTGTAATATACTGTAATATATGTAATAGTAATACTGTACTATATTTTTGGGGGAAGCGGTTATAGATTAAAGTCTTCTAAATTACACTGATATGTATAACAACCATTAGTGAATGGGTGTACCATTGTAAGGAAGGACAGAGTTGAACCACCCTTAAAGGTTTACAACAGGTTTAATGTATGCACTCACTAACTGTAAGTCGCTCTGGATAAGAGCGTCTGCTAAATTACTAAAATGTAAATGTAAATGTTTACTGAACAGATGTCTGATAAGAATGAGCAAAGAAAAGCAACTCATTTGGCTGACCATTTGTTCCACCACCTATCTACAAAATCCCTATGTAACCTGTGGTTCTTCCCATTTCCGCCTTATTACCAAAAACACCTATTTCAAAGAATCCACCTTGATCGATGTAAACATGTTTTCACCTGCGTCCAAAATGGAACAGAATTGTGGTGTAAAAACTCCCCTCCCCACCTCACTTCTCTGGTACTGTAAACAGTACCGGTGGTGGAAGGATGAGACCTGAGGGCTTTGAACCTACTGCTGATGTGAATGAATCCGTGGGTGGACACTCCACATAGAGAGCTAAGTTTAGAACAGACCAGAAAGAACAGAGAATCAAAACAACCTCAGACTAAATGGCTGTTCCCCTGCCAGGCCTGGGGTTATGGTGCTGCTGATAATAATGTAGCCCACATTATGACATTTGGGCTTTGCTTTTTCTCGAACAGTCGATAGTGGCAAAGAGAAGATAAGCAGGTTTTTGGGTTTGTTTTGTCGATAAGAACATTTCAATCTCATATTGTATTAGCATTTTTGGTTAGATTAGTGGCCAAATTCGTGGATTTGGCTATTTCAGCCACACCCGTTGCTGACAGGTGTATAAAATCGAGCGCACAGCCATGCAATCTCCTTAGACAAACATTGGCAGTAGAATGGGCCGTACTGAAGAGCTCATTGACTTTTAACATGGCACCGTTATAGGATGCTGCCTTTCCAACAAGTCAGTTCGTCAAATTTCTGCCCTACTAGAGCTGCCCTGGTCAACTGTAAGTGCTGTTATTGTGAAGTGGAAACGTCTAGGAGCAACAACGGCTCAGCTGCGAATTGGTAGGCCACACAAGCTCACAGAACGGGACCGTCGAGTGCTGAAGCGCGTAAAAATCGTCTGTCCAAACTGCCTCTGGAAGCAACTTCAGCACAAGAACTGTTCGTCGGGAGCTTCATGAAATGGGTTTTTATGGCCGAGCAGCCCCACACAAGCCTAAGATCACCATGCGCAATGCCAAGCGTCGGCTGGAGTGCCGTAAAGCTCGCCGCCATTGGACTCTGGAGCAGTGGAAACGTGTTCTCTGGAGTGATGAATCACGCTTCACCATCTGGCAGTCCGACAGACGAATCTGGGTTTGGCGGATGCCAGGAGAACGCTACCTGCTCCAATGCATAGTGCCATCTGTAAAGTTTGGTGGAGGAGGAATAATGGTCTGGGGCTGTTTTTCACGGTTCAGGCTAGGCCCCTTAGTTCCAGTGAAGGGAAATTGTAACGCTACAGCATACAATTACATTCTAGACGATTCTGTGCTTCCAACTTTGTGGCAACAGTTTGGGGAAGGCCCTTTCCTGTTTCAGCATGACAATGCTCCTGTGCACAAAGCGAGGTCCATACAGAAAGGTTTGTCAAGATCGGTGTGGAAGAACTTGCCTGGCCTGCACAGAGCCCTGACCTCAACCCCATCGAACACCTTTGGGATGAATTGGAACGCCGACTGCGAGCCAGGCCTAATCACCCAACATCAGTGCCGACCTCACTAATGCTCTTGTGGCTGAATGGAAGCAAGTCCCCGCAGCAATGTTCTAACATCCAGTGGAAGGCCTTCCCAGAAGAGTGGAGGCTGTTACAGCAGCAAAGGGGGGACCAACTCCATATTAATGCCCATGATTTTGGAATGAGATGTTCGACAAGCAGGTGTCCGCATTTTGGCCATGTAGTGTAGTTGATTGCTGGCAGGCTATTCAAGTCCCCATTGAGTTTTGTGATGAGTTGTCTGGTAATGAGTGATGTTTTCATTATCACTCGTGAATGCGTGTAAAATGTTACAATCTTTTGTGATAAAACCCCCTGAGCTAACCCCACGGCTCATCTCATGAGAGTCAAGGGTGAGGCAGCATGTATTTACTACTACAATGTCTGACTTATGACCACACACACACTGCAAAACCGCAACCATCCACCTACAACCGAATCTGTCCTATATTTTTACAGCCAGTATGGAGTTAGCATAGACCACTCCTCTCGCGGTCTATCTTGCAGAGCGGTTCACAACTTCCTACCCTACCCCACCCTACTAACACCCCTACCCTAGACTAGTCCTAGAGTATGTGTGAGCTGTCAGTGCAATGATCTCCTGAATTGACTGCAGTGGCCAATCTATGGATGGGGCTCTACTGTCTATGGGACAGAGATGGCTCTCTTTCTAACTTTCACTCATTCACTGTCTCTGCACAACCGTCTATGGGACAGAGACCACAAGCCTAATCAAGGTTGAGGACACTGTATGGTCTGAGTGAATAGGGTTGGGTAGGGTGTGAGTAGACATGACAATGGCAGCACTGTGTAATACACCATTCAATACAGTAGTATCTTACAGTGATAAGGTGAAAAGTGACAGGTCACAAGAACAGAATCAATTTAAATGTGTATTTTAATTGGCAAGTCTTTTAATTGGAGGACAGAGCAGCACTGAAACATTTTCACACAAATTCCACATATAACACATAATGACACACATGCAGTTTCTTTATGAACATTCAGAGAGCTGTGACCACAGTTGTTGGCTGGCTCTGCGATATTTCTCAACAGAAGAGAGTAGAGACAGTCCTCCCTCTAAAACCAGACTAGCCAAAAGGGACTGGATGCTGATTGCTAGATGAGCGGCCATCTAACAATATTATAATTAGCATGATTCTACAGTAGAGGGGCTGCCCAGATTAACTGTGAGATTAACTCAGGGTATTTCCATCGAAAAGGACCCATGAGCACCAACATATTAAGTTTATAGGAGCATATCAAATTGGATGTCAAATGAAAGCTAAGAGTCTATATTTTTGGGAAATGAAGTCATAGATACCTTTTTCAACCATTTTCCATCTTAAAAATTAGGCATAAGTCAAGTCTTTGATTTCAGGATAAACAGATGGAAAAGGGGTCTTAAAAAAAACACCTACCAGAAAAAGTCTTAAAATGTATTAGAAATACACCAAAACACAATAATATTGACGTTACCTTACATTTAGTTTTGGAGGAATTGTTTTCCTGTCTTTAAGTTGAATAAATATTGCCTTGTAATGCCGTTACCAAATACCCACATATTATATCTTTAAGATATTTTCAAATTTCTCTCCCTCATGAGGAGGGAGGATAATGAAAGTTCACAGAAGTAACAAGTAATGGTAGACCTACCTATTAGTTATAGTGATATCAATTTAGTTGATGAATTATGAAGTGATTAAATCTCAAAAACAATTACCAAAACATCTGTAACGTAATTACTGCAACTGGAATTGGCTACAATGGGGAATCCCCTGCTACTGTCCTCCCTTCCACTGGCATACCTTTATGTTCAGCAACCCCTCCCTCTCTCCATCGCCCTCTCTTTGCCTCTCTCTCTCTCTCTCTCCAGTTAATGCCACCTCTCCCAGCTCTTACTGACACCTACCCATGAGCCCCCTCGCTTTTTTATTTACTGTAACCAGCATCCTCACCAACTGAGCATCGACTGACACTGGACGTCCATGGACGTTGAAAAGTAGTTGAAAGTTGGTCAGTCCACCCTGGCCTTGATGTTAACGTCCACAGACGGAACGGACTGAACCAAATGTGAATCTATCATAGACGTATGTTTCACAAGTTTGGATAGCACAGTTCAGAACAGTGAATAGAGCACAGTAGAGTACAGTCAAGAAAAGTAGAGTAAAGTACAGTATATTGTAATGTACTCTACTCTACTGCACTGTACTCTACTCTACTGTACTGCACTGTACTGAACTCTACTGTACTGCACTTAACTATACTCTACTCTGCTTTATTGTGCTTTACTGTACTTAACTGTGCTGTGATGTCCAAACTTGTGAAACAAGAGGTGAATACATTTCTGTATAGTACAGATCAGAGACCCACAACGTAATTTCATTCATTACTTTAATTCTGTTACCAGGTCTAAATCCACTTCACTTACTGTATTTCAATAACCAAATTAGATTTTATCAAACTCAAGATGTCATGTCATAGCTGACACAGACATCTTTGAATCTTAATTAGGAGCAGATATTTAAGAGTTTTTGGAAAACCTTTTTGGAAAACGTTGCATAAAAACCTGAGGGAGATTTTACCGTTACCAAAGTTTGCATCTGCACAGTTCTTCCACTAAATTAATATTTTTTTTCAGTGGAAATTGTTAAAAGTAGTCCCTGTGCATAGAGTAGTAGGGTTTGTTAAACTTTTGAAATCTTTTTTTTTTT